GTCCAGGTCATCTTGAAGGGCATGACAATCATCTAAGTTTCTTATCCTTCCTATTATCTTTGCATCATCAGCAAACATGTTCATATAATTCTGTATACCAACTGGTAGATCATTTATGTACACAATAAACATCACTGGTGCAAGAACTGAACCCTGTGGTACTCCACTTGTGACATTTCTCCATTCCGATACATTGCCTCTGATCACTGCCCTCATTTTTCTATCAGTCAGAAAATTTTTCATCCATGTTAGAAGCGTACCTGTCACCCCTCCAATATTTTCCAGTTTCCAGAACAACCTCTTATGTGGAACTGTGTCGAAAGCCTTTTTTAGGTCCAGATAGATGCAGTCAACCCAACCATCTCTTTCCTGTAATATCTCTGTTGCTCGATCATAGAAACTGAGTAAATTCAATACACAGGATCTTCCAGATCGAAAACCATATTGTCTGTCTAATATTATATCATTTCTCTCCAGGTGTTCTACCCATTTAGTTTGAATTATTTTTTCCAATATTTTGACTATTACACTTGTCAGTGATACCGGTCTATAATTAAGGGGGTCTTCCCTGCTTCCACTTTTGTAGATTGGAACTATGTTAGCCTTTTTCCACACGTCTGCTACAACTCCTGTAAACAGGGATGCCTGATAAATCAGTTGAAGAGGAATACTGAGCTCAGGTGCACATCCTCTCAGAACCCATGGTGAAACTCCATCTGGACCAACTGCTTTGTTCTTATTTAGCTCCTTGAGCATTTTTTCCACTTCATCTCTAGACACCTCTATGTGCTCTATGTTGTTCTCTAGAATTCTTATTGTGTCTGGTTCCCTAAAGATTTCATTTTGTACAAACACACTTTGGAACTTTTCATTTAATGTTTCACACATTTCCTTTTCATTTTCCGTGAATCTATTTCCCATTTTCAACCTCTGAATATTATCCTTTACCTGCAATTTGTTGTTTATGAATTTATAGAATAGACCTGGTTCTGTTTTACATTTGTCTGCAATCCCTTTTTCAAAATTTCTTTCTGCCTCTCTAATCACTGCCGTGTAGTTGTTTCTCGCATCTTTGTATCGCTGGTATGTTTGGGGGTTTGGCCTCTTCCTGTATTGATTCCATTTTTGTGTCTTTTGGTCTCTGGCTCTCTCGCAATTTCTGTTGAACCAATCCTGTTTCCTAGTTCTGCGTCTCTGTTTTGGTATAAATTTTTTTGTGCCTTTATCATATACTGTATTTCACAAAACTTGACATACATCTCATTCACTTCCTTGCCTAGCAACAAGTCTGTCCAATTATACTCACTAAAAAATTTTTCTAAGGTTGCCATAATGTCCTCTCCTAAAGTCAGGTTTTTCAATTTCATCAACAATCATATTTTCTTCCAGATTATAATGCATTGCATACTTTATTCCCAAAAAGACATGGTCACTTTTACGCAAGGGAGGAAGGTACTGAATGTCAAATATTTCTTCCTCCTTCCTGGTAAATATCAAATCTAGCATGGAGGGAACATCCCCTTCCCTCATCCTCGTAGCTTGTTTAACATGTTGATACAAGAATGTTTCCAGGATGAGGTCTACAAATTTACAGGTCCAAAAATCTTCTGTTTTAGCTTCATATACTTCCCAGTCTATGGATTTCAAGTTGAAGTCGCCGACTATCAACAGTCGTGAACTATCGTTATTCGCTCTCGCTATGATCTCTCTCATTATTGTTATAAGACCTTCTCGTTTACTATCTAGCTCCTCCTTTGACCATGTGCTGCTTGGCGGTGGACTATATGCATTTATCATCATTAGTTTATCATCCTCATAGCAGATCTCTAGTGCTATTATGTCAACTTCTTGTGGATTGGCAGTCATTATTTCCTTCACCTTTAGGTGTTCTTTTACCAGCACAGCAACGCCACCGCCTTTCCTAATTTTTCTGTCCCGTCTCCAAATTGAGTAGCCCCTTGGGAATATGACCTCATTTAAAATAACATCTTCAAGTTTTGTCTCCGTGAGTGCAACAATGTCTGGTGTCTGCAGCTGTATTACATCACTTAACTCCAGTATCTTCGATCTTACTCCATCTATGTTGGTGTATGCAATCTTCAGGAACTTGTTGCCCCCTATTCTTATTTTTCACTCCCCCTCTCTCTAATGATTTTGTTGATTTGCCTTTATGTACCACTTTACTGGTCTGCCTACCTCTATAACTTTGTAGAAAAAAGAATTGATTTCTTCTTCATTCCTGTTCTCATTTAAACGTTTTGCCTCGGCAAGGTTCAGTTTCAGCTTCTCTCTATCTTCTTTTGAAAGATCTCGTCTTAACGACCACACTATGTCTCGTGGGTGTATCGTGTTTTGTGTCTGGCGTCGGCCCTCCGCTGTTCTTTATGCGCCACAGCTCTGTGTCCGGGACGCTCTTTGGGTTGATCCGGTTCCCTTCTTCCCAGTTCGCGGGTGAGGGTCTCCCAGGTTGTCCGCCGTGTTATTAAGGCTAGCCGGCCTGCGTTTTATCCCCGTGCCCATGACGTTTGTAGATTCGCTGCTCGTGCTGCTGTCTTTGGCGACATGTCCTGGCTGACATTTGGGCATGGGGCTTTTGGCGGTCATACAGGCTGCTCGATATCTCGTGATCATTCCCGGGCCCATTTGGGCCTGTGTCGCCTTGGGTTGGCGATTGCAGCCAGTTGTCTCGACTTTGAGTTGAGGAGTGAGCAGCGACTGTCTCCCGGGTATGTCCCTCTTATTTCCTCTGTGGGTAGTTAGCTCTGGGAAGCCAAAGGGGCTCTCCCCAGAAACCAGCGTTGAATGTAGTGAAACTGCATTTTCTGGATGAGACCCAGAGGCTCCTCGTCATCCCTCCCTCCCTCTGGTCGGTGATTTTTCTTGTTTTTGACATCCAGCCTCAGAACTGATGGTGGATAGCCGGTGTGGTAGGTCTGGGGCTCCCCCTTTCCCCTCTCAGGGAGGGGGGAGCTGCGCAGACAGCGGCGCAGCGATGTGTGATCATTTGCTTGTTTCTTTTAGGAGAGTTCTATGCACTTGTTCGGCTTGTGGTAGCAATTTTCACCAGAATAGGGGTTTGTTTTGGGATGCTTACCTTTCTGGGTGCTTGACCCGGTCGATGGCAGACATAGAATGCTTCCAACCACACGGGGGTTTCTATAGGCCATTGCTTATCTTGCCTCTCTGAGGGGGCCAGGTTCTGGATCATGGTCTCCGGTAGGCCCATAGAACTCCATACACATGACTGATGCCAAAGTCTGACATTAGCATATCAGCCTGGATAAGCTCCAGGGAGCCTCCGAGTCTCACCCAGAAAATGGCGTTTCATTACATTCAAAGCTGGTTTTTTGCAATTTTTGATGAATATAGATTTCCAGGAATCTGGGCCTGGAACAGAGTGCATAAGCATGCTGTCTATGGCTACTTCAAAGTCAAGTGGTGGTAGGGTAACATCTGATATATGGCTCAGTGGTGGTGGTGTTGCATTCATAAAAAAAAGAAATGGATTATTCAGCTGTAGTTTGTTCAGGGGTTCACTGAAAACAGAATCGTACTATAACCTTAGTATTTCACTCGTTTCTTTGCTGTATTCGTAATGGTTCCATTGCTGTTACACATGGGCCCAATGCAGGATGTAGATTTTGATCTAGATTTTGCATAGGACAAAAAGTATTTTGGATTCCTCTCCGTTTTGCTTACGGCCTTTTGCTCTCTCTGTCTCTCCTGGATTGTACATGATTTATGCACCCTTAGCTGAATCTGTTTTATTTCTCTACATATCCTCTACATGACTGAACTTGTGGGAACACAACCTGCAAGTGAATAAGTGGATGCATTACAGCATCTATTAATGGATAATTTAAAGGTTAAGTTGACTATCAAGTTTGCCAAATTCATTCAAAATATGTCTAATTTGATCATACAAAAATCCCCTAATGAATCCATTCAAGAAAAAAGGTACTCTGCAGACCTACAGTTCATCTAACTTTTCATTTCTGATCTTTTTGTATTAAAAGGCTATTGATTATAGAATTAATCTATAGAATTATAGATTCTATGGGATTATAGAATTAAACTATAAGCCCACTGTTCTTAAGCTCCAGGAAAAACATTCATTAATAATAGTGGGCTTATATTTTAATTGTCAAATGTGATGAACAGTACAGTTTGCTGGGAGGAATTAGCAGTTGCATTCATAGCACACAATACAAGAGTGTATTTTGCAAAATATGAATTAGTATTTTCTTTTGGCATTTGGCTATCAAAACCTCATTCTGTACCACAAATACAGTAGTGTGCTTTTGAATTGGCATGGCTACACCATTGTGGCGATTGTTATTGATATGTACCCATGCTAAAAACTTGCCGAACATCCAGTAAACTTGATATATATGAAACAGGATGACGTTTTTTCACCTTTAATTTTTATTAGCAAAGTACAGTATTTTATATATGTATGTTATTTAAAGTCTACATATGTTATTTAAAGTCTACTTTTTATTATCTTAAATTGTCCTCAAGGAGCATCTACAGTACTGCCAAAGGCTGCTGCTTTCGCTTTAGTCAAAGTAAATCAGTCAATACTTATTTATAGTAAGAAGCTACATTGTTTAAGGATTGAGCATTATCCCTAGCAGAGACATGGGGAAAAGGAAGAAAGATGGAGGTTCCCATTTTCTTCCAGCATAGTCGTACATCCATGAATGTTCCGAAGTTATCTGATCTAAGATATTTTGAAAGGTGCCTTTTATGTACTATATGAGGCATGTTAATGATAGGCACAAAAGTGCTAACAACACTAGAAAAAGTGCAAGTTAATAAGAGGAGACTTTAATTGTAGATGCTTTCCTGTAAGAACTTTAATTGTAGATAAAGTCTGCTCTGATACTGATGTTTCTCTACATTATAATCAATATATAATGGGTATTTAGGTTATATACTTGGATTCCATACCTACCTTTAGATTTTTTTTATTCAGTTAACTTTGATATAAATTTCAGTCACAAGAAGTTGACAGGAATCATGATGGCATACAAGAAGGACTTGAGTTTACTCTAACATTACCACTCTTAAGTAGTGAGTTCATTTATGGCACAACACTCCTACTTATCTTCGATTATAGACTTCATGTAAGTATGATTTTACCAGCTGGTTCAAGTATCATATAATAATGGTGTGCTTGTATTGTTGCATGTATACACAAGTGTATATTCCATGTTATAATTGATGACAAGGCTTTTTCAATTGGTAATTGTCTCGAAGCTTAACCCCTCAACTGGGCAACACGCCTGCAGGCTCTCGACAAGGGTGCTTAACGTGCCTCTGGGTATTTATATTTTTAGAGTTCTGTTCAAAACTCCCGTGGCTACATGGGGTTCACATCAGCTTCCTCAGGGCTCTTGTAAACAGACGCTATCTTTAACAAAAATCGTGGGTCACATTCCCGGGTGTGAGAGCCTCAGTACTGAGTGAGCAACCAAGGCCGGCACACACAGCATGAGCTCACAGCACTGCTGTTCAGCTTGTGACCACAGCATCGCCTATTAATGTCAAAATATATATATAACTTGTATTATTTAGCCATGATAGTATTACAGAAGAGCCTGAGTGTGATAATGACTGTGTACAATGTTCAAATATCAGTGATTCAATGCTGTTCACAATGTTCACAGCGCTAGCCACAGCACCACAGCATTATTTCGTCCATCTAAGAATCGTCAAACAGCTTCCTAGGCTCCTTTACAAAATAAACTTGTGGTCAATTATTCATTTACAGGATTTAGTGACCAGTATTGTGATAACAGCAGGATTGTGGGGGTAATAGCACTGTGCATAATATTGTGGAAGGGAGGGAGGGAGAAAATCGAGGTAGCCTCACTGTGTGTGTGTGGCAGCCGCTCTTGTTTTGCTCACCATACTAGCTTAGTGGTTCGCTATGGTGAACACACATGTGCATGGGTATATACAATGTGTGTATATACCCCATGTATATATTTGTGTAGTGTTGTAAGAGGAGGAATTGTGGTGAGGGAGGGAGGGAGAGAATCGAGGTAGTCTTACTGTGTGTGTGTGGCAGCCACTCTTGGTTTGCTCACCATACTAGCTTAGTGGTTCGCTATGGTGAACGCACATGTACATGGGTATATACAATGTGTGTATAGACCCATGTACATATGTGCGTAGTATTGTAAGAGGAGGAATTGTGGTGAGGGAGGGAGGGAGGGAGAGAATCGAGGTAGCCTCACTGTGTGTGGCAGCCACTCTTGTTTTGCTCATCATACTAGCTTAGTGGTTTGCTATGGTGAACACATTTGTACATGGGTATTGTGACGGTAACGCGTTGGTGTTCGGCTGTTTAAGGCTAGGGGTATGGCCTCGTCACATAGTTATAAAAAAAAATAGAAAAACTGGAACTTCGTCTGTGGTAAGGTAAGGAGAAGACACACAAAACACAAGTAAATTTTAACAATGAAATTTTAATTACGTTAAATAAATCAAAACATGAAAAAATGGACAAACCAATTCTTATAATAAAATCAATCAATCAAAATAATAAGAATAATTAAATGACACAATGAAAAGTTACGTTAAGATAAAATAACAAGAAGTGCAACACAAAAATAAAGGGAAGGTGCTGGAATATTGGCTTTAAGCTACCACCTCTCTCAGTACACGCTAACGTCTAGCCGGGAGGAGTGGTAACCACGAAAGCACTGAACATTCTGAGGTCTGAGGTCGTGGCGACCCCAGACATCAAGTAGTATGGGGGGGCGAGTGCAGGTGCAGCCAGACCGGCGACCAATCAGCGGAGCCGGTAGCGATCAACAGGTAGTTTGGCGGTTTGAGTCTGAACAGGTGTCTCTGGCTGCAACGTTTTGCGCTCTGGCAAACCTTGCTGGTGTTGTTGTCGTTGTTGGACATTTCTTCTATATATATATATACATATACAATGTGTGTATATAGTGTAATAACAGCAACAGGAGTATGTTAGGAGGAGCTTTTAAAGCGAGGGAGGTGATGTAATCGTAGCGTCGTCTGCTGGCTGCTGTGTGATTTCTTGTGTAGTGTATGGTGGCCACTGTAAAGTTTGGACACAATACCGGCTTACTTGCACAGTTCTGGTAAATAAAACATGTAGATAGGTATTTATAACATGTGTAAATAGTGTAGTAAAAACAATAACAGTATGGTGGGAGGAGGAATGTTGGCAAGTAAGATGTTGGAGGAGTGAGGGAGGACTGGCTGGTGTGGCAGCTGACACTCGCAGAGTTCTGAGTGTGTTGATGGTGAATGTATATAGTGTGTGATTGTGTATAGTGTGTAAATAGATTGTATATATACATAAATTAGCATGAGGCATGGGAAAAAGGGGAGCCGGTCGGCCAAGCGGACAGCACACTGGACTTGTGATCCTGTGGTCTTGGGTTCGATCCCAGGCGCCGGCGAGAAACAATGGGCAGAGTTTCTTTCACCCTATGCCCCTGTTACCTAGCAGTAAAATAGGTACCTGGGTGTTAGCCAGCTGTCACGGGCTGCTTCCTGGGGGTGGAGGCCTGGTCGAGGACCGGGTCACGGGGACACTAAAGCCCCGAAATCATCTCAAGATAACCTCAAGATAATATGTGCAGGATATGTGTACACATGTGTCATGCACGTAACACAGTGTCTTTGGACAGTACGGATGTTCTACTGCCATAATATAGTGTACGTGTTCATTACACATAGGATTGGCACAAAAAAACAAATAAAATGTATTTGGAACTGTGCGCAAAAAATGAACAAAAATATATTGGTGGCAACTTGTGCATCTTGAGCCGGGTGCCCTACTGGCCCCGGGAGCATATGCCACGGGCGAACAGGGAATAATAACGTCACGGGCAAACTTACGGACCCCATAGCAGCCAAAGTACAATTTTGACTTTTTGTTAACACTTTCGCGCTTTCGATTAGAAATAACTCGTCACTGGTTTTTCTTACGATTCCGCATAACTGCCTACTTTTCTCGTCAATCGAAAAAATATTTCTATAAATTCCATTTTTTAACCGAAATGGATGGGGATACTTTTGTTTTGTAGAGAATTTATTTGCGAATTTTGTGATACCAGAATGAATATATATCACATAAACTTCTATGAGTAAAAAAAAAAATACACTAAGTATGTTTGGGGGTGTGGCGAGCGTGTGGCAGTGGGTTCCCTTTAGCCGTTGATATATCCAACACGTGGGAAATATTTGTATGTGTTATGTATATGTCTGTGTAGGGAATTTTACTGCGATCACTGTCATACAAATTATAATATGTTTCAACAAGTATAAACATGACAAACATCAAACGAACGAAAACAATGCGTTCGTTTCTGCCGCGAACGCATACTGAGCGACGTGGTTCTATATTTGGCGCTTCTCTTACACATGCTTTGTACCAATGTTATACAGTTCATCTTATAGGAAATTTTATTGCGAACACATTGGTATAAAAAGAAATACGTACATAGAAAAGTAGGGTCAGGAAACGTATAAATGTATAAACTTTCCAAGCATGATTGTGTTTTCGCCAGTGCGCTCGCGGCTAACTACTCTCCACTTCACACACTCTTGCGGGTGGGCAATTACCTATATTAAACATTCATATGCATATGTCCGTGTAGAGAATTTTATTGCGATTCCAATGATACCAAAATTAGCGATGTAGGACAACTGTAGGCTTCGCAACCATTAAGAGAGTGGAAACATTTTGTTGCTGTTTGGCGCTCTCGGCGAGTGATCTGCATAGTTTTTTATTTGGTGTTGATACTCCTTATGCTTGGGCGGCATTTTATAGGTATGCTCTTATAGACAATTTCTGTTAACATATCCATATTCAGGGAAGGGTTTTTGACACTTTCAAAAAATCAAAGAATTTTTTCCAGAGAATTTATTTCCTTCACACTGGGGGGTGTCATATTTGGAAGCCGAGCAGTTGAGGGGTTAAAGCTCGTCTTCAAAAACAGGATTTGTATGTAAAATCATTATTATTGCAATGATAAATTACCCTAAGATAAAATCTGGTGTTAAATTATTTAATTAAAATATTTAATAGTGATCCAATTGTACAGTACTATGAAAAATACTATTGTGTACATTTTCCTAGGGAAAACACTGTGTACAGTACTTAACTATAAATTGTTTATGGAGTTTTTTTTATATCTTAGGCTTATTTATATTAAATAAAACTGAAGCTAATAAAGTGATAATTGAGTAATTTCACATTCACAAATATTGATATTGCACTGCTGTATATCAAAGCAACTGTTTTCCGACTTGACAATATTGGCATACTGTTTTTACAGTAGGTAGAATCATATTGCAATACATCTCAATAAATGTTAGGTAAAATTGGCATGGTAAAATTTTAAGGAATAGAGTTCTGCTTACAAAATGTTGAAAACAAGCAAGAGATGACATATCTGCAAACAAAATAATAACCTAAGGGAAGAAAACAATTGTTTTTCGTGTTATTAATTGGAAGACTTTTGGTAGAGTACTTATGGCATGGTATCTCCTGAGAGTACTAGTAATTTGTGACAAAAGTGAGACCACATTTAGTATTTTTCTTTACATAGCCTTACTAACATTTAACTTTCATTATAAAAGGATACATAATAGCCATATAAAATTGAGAGATAACTACTAGATCTAACTTCTTTACTGTATATGAAAATGTAGGGTAGGGATCACATCCTCCTTATCCTTCCCATATGTAGGGTAGGGATCACATCCTCCTTATCCTTCCCATCACATCCTCCTATCCTTCCCATATGTAGGGTAGGGATCACATCCTCCTTATCCTTCCCATCCACATCCTCCTTATCCTTCCCATATGTAGGGTAGGGATCACATCCCTCCTTATCCTTCCCATATGTAGGGTAGGGATCACATCCTCCTTATCCTTCCCATATGTAGGGTAGGGATCACATCCTCCTTTATGTCCTTCCTCCTTATCCTTCCCATATGTAGGGTAGGGATCACATCCTCCTTATCCTTCCCATATGTAGGGTAGGGATCACATCCTCCTTATCCTTCCCATATGTAGGGTAGGGATCACATCCTCTTTATCCTTCCCATATGTAGGGTAGGGATCACATCCTCC